ATACATAGTGGTGTGATTAGGCTCTATACTAGCGGCGGCGGCGTGTTAAGGTCGCGATAAGGCTGTAATAGTATTAAAATAACGGTCGCTGAAGCCGCGATACCTTAGGTCGACGCTGATGCTAATGCTAACGCTGATACTAACGCTAATACTGACGCTAATGCTGACGCTAATACTAACGCTGATGCTGACGCTAATGCTGACGCTAATGCTGACGTAGATAAAGATATAATATGCGCGTAGCGCAGGCTATATAACTTCGATGTTAATTTGTGGCTAACCTTATTACACGCTGAGTATATAGGCTGTTTCCTAGATAGCCCCTCGATAGCTTTAAACGCGCTTAGCTAGCGGCGAGTGCTTATCCTTAGTAGTATTAATCGGGCCGTGGCCTAGTCGAACTGTTTATTTAGCTCGATTAGGAATTATAGCCTCTTTTTATACTAAAGGTACTAGTATACGTGAAATTAGCTTAGCTAGAGGGGCCGTTATTCCTTTATAAGGGGCTCGAGTATATAAGCGTAAGGGAGGCCGAGTGACGATATAAATCTACTTATATAGGGAGGAAGTGCCTTATTTAGTATAAGTAACTTCCTCTAGCCCTCGACCTTCCGTAACGCCTCGTAGGAGATCCAGCTATATACGATAGTATATAGCTTCTTATTAAGTTCGATCGGTATACGAAGTCGCTGCTTAGCTTGATTATCCCGTAGCGAGGCTATTTAATTAAGGACTACGCGCGTAATCGACTTCTAGGTATTAAAGAGATCTAGCTAATTTATATAAAGATAGATCTTAATTAGCTAGTGAATACCCTCGCCGCGGGATATAACTATATTATCGAAATATATATACTTATTAACCTAGGCCTTTATAAGCCTCTCTTTATATAGGTCGAGCTAGGTTTCTATAATATAGCTAACTTCTCTAGCGTATATTATAGCGTAATATTCCTTAAGGGCCTAGAGCCTCTACTTAAAGGTTTCGCTAGATATCGAGGCGATAAGTTTATACTATATCCTATAGAAATCCTACTATATAAGTTAGCCCTCCGTCCCGCTAATATCGTCACGGAAGCTTAGTAAGTAATAGCGGAGGACTACCTTATTCGCGTGCTAGAGGTATAATAGAGCTACCGCGTCTAGGAAGCATATAGATATAGCGTTTATATAGGCGAGGTAGCGATCGGTAAGGATAATACTCGGCAGCCTTACCCCGTAGGTGTTATATATCGAGCGCAATCGATCTAATACCTAGATATAATCTATCTCTTCTTCCCCGCTAAGGAAGGCAAAGGCGATATAAAAAGAGCGTTAGTAAGTATCCACGCTGACTATATCGAGGAGGGGTATCCGGTACTTATTAATCTTATATATATAATTAAGAATAAAAGTATCTAGGTATAGATATAGGTACCCTAATAACTCTAGGTATATAAATATCACGGCTATAACCCTACTATCGTCGTCGAAACAGATACGACTCTAGAAGCCCTCTATCTCGAGTTCGTTAGCGAGGGCGTGAATCGTACTTTAGCCTTCCTAGCGCGATCGCTTGCCTTCCGCGATATAGTTATAGATATCTTGCTAGGTAGCTCGCGTGCTAGACTTAGAGTGCGTGCGTAAGTAAGAGCGAATCTCTTTAGGTATAATCCTAGCGTTCGTAAAGGCGTGGATAGAAGTTATATCGGTCTGCGATAACTAGCGATAGACTAGATAAGCGATAATATTAAAGCTTAGGCCGTGGTTATAACGCCTAAAGTTATTAGCACGATACGCGAGGTACTAGACCGACTTATTTAGCGATTCTTTCGCGAGCACCGAGAATTAGTATCCTATACGCTTTAATATAGTAGACCGTATGCGCGGTATAGAGCTACTCGGCCTCGTCCTTACTCGATTATAGCTAAGGAATATAATCCGTCGGCCGCTCGTTAATAACTTCGACTTAATAGTTACGAATACGTAGCCCCTAGCGGCTGCCTATATATTAGCGGCCTAGATAAGGGCTTTACGAGAGGGATATTCGTTCTCGGGGGGTAAGGTATTATTAATAGACTCTCCGATAGTCAGAGGGTCGCTTATAATTACGAAAGAGCCTTTAGATAATAATTAGTGCCTTAATCGTGCGTTAGAAGATAAGGCTCGCTTAGATACTCCTAAGGAAAGTATCCCGAAGTATCTGATTAGTAGGCAAGTAATATTTATAGGTTTTGGCTAACTAAGTAATCCTATTCGCGCACCTAGGTGCGCAACACGTGACACTTATTTCCGCACCTAGGTGCGCACCTATGAGCCCCCAAACCTGCCTGACAAACAACAACGTTGTCTCTGACGAGGCCATTTGGGTCGCCATGAGCCAGCAGAATTACTCTTTCCGCCATCCTGTTGGCACCGTGGCCATTAGTAAAGCCCTCGACTCAGATTGGAGAGTAAAGGGCCTGAAGAGGATTAGGGTCGTGGACTCGAGCACGTTCACTTCCCCTCCAACCAGTCGCCTACAAGCAACGGTCTATGCATTAGCGAGTAGAGCCGCTAAGGATATCCTCCGTAGCGATAAATTTAAGAGGAAGTAGGTAATTATATCTTACATACTACTCCTATAGCTTGACTTTGATTGTGTACGACGACTGGCTGAGTGTCCTTGAAAGTAGAGTGCAAAGCTCATCATGAACTAGACCTATCGAAAGAGATACGACCTGCTAGGTCTGAGCAGCCTGCAAGATCATCTTGATGAGGTCCAAGTCCTCCCGGGCATCCGCAGCAGACGTCTTGGGGGGGAACTTGTTAGTCGCACAGCGATGGAACTCCAAGAACTCGAGCGTAAAGGGATCCTCGTAGGTTTTCCTGACGATACGCTCCTGGTATCCGTCCCCCCTGGCACTGTCAATCTTCTCCCTGATAGTCATGGTGACGGGGAGACCCTTCACGTAGGGGGTGTCGTAGTCGACGCGCACAATCTTGTTCCGGGAGTAGACCTCAATGTGCGCATCGAAGCGAGGCACGTCGATGATGCCCGACTCGTAGGACACGGGGAAGCCCTCGTACTGGAACAGCACGTTCCAGATGGGCAGTCCGAGGGAGGCGCCTACGACGCGCGAGGGCATGCCCACCATCTCCCGCATGGCGGAGAAGTCGTGGACACCGAGTCTGCAAGATGGGTTGCCAGGTCAGTGGCTGGCTCTCCTCGGGGTGTTGGGAAAGGATGAGCTCAACTAACTTACCCAGTGAAGAGCCTAAACATAGTCATGGTCTCTTGTGTTGCCTCGACACCGTACTCGTCAACGAGAGCTCTCTTGACCATTTCCTCCTCCGCCGCCCGCATCTCTGCACCAGCCTCCGTAGGATAGTCATTGAATCTCTTGGGGTACGTGCCGGATTGGCCGACAAAGGAGCTGTTTTGCCCAATGATGTCTTTCTTCGGTCAGCACCTTGCGTTGATCACAGTTACAAGATGGCAACTGTACGTACCCCTGACTCGTATGTACTCAATCTTGTCCATGGTGCCTATTTCCTTCAGGGCATCCGTGAACGCCTCGGCATATCGCCTTTGGTATCCCACAAAAACCCTGGCCTCCGAGTTCTTCTCTGCGGCAATGATGGAGTCGAGATCCCGGTAGTTCATGGCAAGCGGCTTCTCTACGAACACGTACTTGTTGCACTGCAGTGCTAGGATAGCCTGGACCGGGTGGAAGGCATTGACGTTGCAGACCACCACGACATCGGTATCAGGGGACCTAATCAGCTCGTCCGGCTCCGAAGTTGTCTTCGGGGTGGTCCCGGCAACCCTCTTTCTACAGTGCTCAAGAGCCTGCTGCGAGACATCGCAGATGTATGTGATCTGGAAGTGGCTCGACAGGTTGTTCAAGAGCAGAATGTGAGAGACCTAGAAATTGTCAACAAACGTACGCTACACTAAAAGTCATACGGAGAGGGAGGACGCACCTGAGCAACCTCTCCCAAGCCGATGATCCCAACTTTGAGGATCTTTTCCGAGCTGGTAGCAGGTGGTTCGGCCATCTTGAGGAGTTAGTATAGAATTTTGGGACAGATTTTGGGTGACAAGCTATTTGATCCGTTCAAGCTGGGCATCTGTTTGACTCTATCCTCGCGGGTCCACACTGGAAACGCGCTCCGACCACGCAATCTTCAACAGAATATAAATGATATGTCGGTCTAGGGCGACGTGCAGAATCGACAAGACGGTGTCCGCTCATCCGCCGCACACCCGCGAGAAGGGTCCGCCCCCGACGGCAGTCTGGAACCTCGCACTCGACCCCTCAGTATCACGTCCTTCAATGATGACGGGAACCCTGAATACTCCGGATAATATTGATACTCAATACTGGGGCAGTGCCTTGATAAGCGCGCGGCATTGTCGGTCCGCGCGATGCCTCCACGCATACCTCGTAACATCTTGCCCTGTTATTAGGGGTTGGCAAGTACAGGATTTGAATCCTTCGACATGCAGCTCGAGCGTGCCTCCACAATTGGCTAAAACAGCATGTATCTTGCGCATGCATACGCATGCATTCCACATGCGCTTATTGGTCCGGGGTATCGTCCTGGCTAAAACGTGCGAGACCCTGGACTTATGCGCGCGTGTCTGGGCGTCTGGTGCAGCACCGCCCCCCGGATTTCGATGAGTCGCATCCTGCTGGCCTCAACTCTGACCGACAGAAGGAGGAGAAAGGGTGACTTTTCTTTGCTTCCGTGACTTCCTCAATCATCCTTCCTGGGGGCTGAGATGAAGGCGGCCCGTCGTCTTCAGATGCCGCGACGCAGCACTCGGGAGGCGGACTCTGGAGAGAGCGCCGGCTCCCAAGACTGGGGCACTTCAGCCGGCTTACATGGTGAGACGAGGTCGCGAAAACCCCCACATATGCCATGTTCGTGGACGACGGTACTCCAGTGAAACGGAGACTGTCTATGACTTGCCTCTGATTGAAGGTCGCTCTTATCCAACAAATCGCTCCAGTACTCAACGTACCACTCGTCAAAATGGCTGACAGTAATGCCACGAACACGCCATGGCGCATCTATCTGTACGGTGCCGGCTCGATTGCATGGCGACACGGCGTGGCGGCGCAGAGCCTAGGAGAGGATGTCGAGCTCTTTGCTGCCGACCCTTCACAGGATGCCCGCGAGTCACTGCTCTCCAAGGTCCCCAAGGCCACTGTCTACCAAGATGCCCAAGACATGCTCGCCAGCTCCCCAGGCCGGGCGCGCGACATTGTCGTCGTAGCTGTGCCCCCATTCCTGCACCACGCGGCGACACTGCGCGCCTTCGCCTCCGGGCGCCACGTCCTCTGCGAGAAGCCCCTTGCCACCTCCGAGACGGAGATGGCCGAGATGCTGGCCGCCAGTGACGCCGCCGGCCGCATCCTATCCGAGTGCAGCTTCCGCTACCTCGGCAACGGGGCCCTAGAGCGTGCCCGCCAGCTCATTGAGACGGGCGGCGTTGGCTCCGTCTACCATACGCGCTTCGTCAACCGCCAGCCGCGTTCGCGTGCCGGCATCGAGTATCAGCCTGCGAGCCGCTGGTTCCTCCAGCGGGACAAGTCAGGCGGCGGTACCCTCTTTGACTGGGGCGTCTACGACATGACCATGTTCTTCGACGTTGTCCGCCCCGTGGCTGTCACGGTCAACTATGCCTGGTTGGCGACGCCCAAGACGGATATCGACCCGACTGACCCCCCCATCTCCGTCGAGACGCACGCCGGGGCGTCGCTGACGCTCACGCTGGACAGCGGCGCCGTCGTCCCGTTCCACTGGGAGCGCGCGAGCGGCTTCCACGGCGAGACCCAGGTTGCCATCAATATCGACGGCACGGCCGGCGGCCTGACGTGGGAATGGGTCCCGACGTTCGACTACAAGGCGGAGGTGGATGCCGCGCAGGAAGGCTTCAAGCTGACGTACTACACTGACAAGAATGGCGAGGTGGACGCGGAGGAGTATAAGTTTCCTGGCTTCGGTTGGGAGGACGCCAATCACCGTCCCTTGCTCGCCTTTGTTGACCTGATTGAGGGGCGTGAGAGCTTGGCCCTGTCCCGGAGCAGGATGGAATTCAACTTTGGAGTGGTGCTGGCGATTTACAAGTCGGCTTCCGAGGGGAAGCCCATTCATGTCCAGCTAAAGTAAGGAAAGGCGGGAAAATGGGCATATGATTAGGGTAGTATGGAGTCTCTTCAAATGAAACGCTCATTCACCGCGATGAAGGAAAATTCCAACCGTCAAGATAAGGTGCACGTGTCTACATACAACGCCCGCTCGTCTTTTGTACGTGTATCCAAAGTACCCTGTGGAGCATCGATGCAAATTCGAATCTGTCCCAATAAGCCTTGCATTCCGTGGAGGCTAATGCTTCCCGCATCTACAGCCTCTCGGCAGACGTCTCGGGCTCCAACTTGTCGTTGCCAGCGGGAACAACCGGCGTGACAGTCTCTTCTTCGTTGACCTTGGCCTTGGAGGTGCGGAAGCGGAAGCCCGTCTCATTCCACCGCTTCCCGAAGCCGTATCCTGGATGCCAGATGGTCAAGCACAGCGAGGCGAGGATGACCATGACGCCGTCGAGGATCATGAACTCGACCTCCTTATTGGCCAGCTCGCCTGCGAATCCCTCGCTCAGCTCGACCGACCGAAAGACCGTTCGCACAAACAGGCACCCGGTTGCGCCCAGGACAGCTGGCGTCCGTCAGTATAGCACTTGAGATCACGCCTGCTACTCTATGGGTGTCGATACACGTACCGATGAGGAAGAACTTGAAGCGCTTGCTGTTGACGAGGTCTGTGAACTCGGGGTTGGCCATGCTGGGGTTCTTCCTGACGCGCCAGAAGAATTCGAGACTGCAGGCGGAGAAGGCAAACAGGCAGGCAACCTGGATCGAGAGACCGGCGACGAGGATGTTGGTGCCGACGTCAATCTAATTGGTGCGAGTGTCAGCGAAATGCCCTCCGCAAGAAAAAGGCGCGTGAGGCGGGCGAAAAAAAAAAGAGGTCCGTCTCACCATGTATGGGTTTGTGACGGGCGTAGAGGCAGCGATGCCACCACCGACGGCCTGGACGACGAGACTGACAATGTCGCAGCCGACGAAAAAGGTCGTGTACGTGCGAGGCTTGATGCGGCTGATACTCTCCCCGTGGGCCACGACAATGTGCCCGAGGGTCAGGTAGATGGCGGCGGCGATAAAGACGGGCCCGATGGTCAGCGTGATGAGGTACCACAGGAAGTAGTCCCTGCTAAATGGGTTCCCGTTCATGAGCACGCGCGAGACATAGCCCAGCGTCTCCGTCGTCAGGCCCAGGCACATGGTAATCATGAAGCCCCGCGTCTTGTGCCGAAAGCCCAGGTACAGCTGCGCGAGGGCCAGCACGGCCATGACAGCCAGGAAGATAGCATTGCCGGGCACGCTGGGCCGGTAGCGGATATAGCCCCAGTCCTCAACGGAGCAGGTGTCCAGGGTGCAGACGAAGCCTTCGATGTAGCCCTCTGGAGCCGACATGGTGCCGCCGAGTCTGTTTGAGATGCGGGATAAGGGGATGACCGGGGCGGGAAGTGGAAAGTGGGCGACAGTCAAAGACGAGGGACCTCTTGGTTGACCGTACATGTATTTAAAGCCATCGACGAGGCTGAAGTTCGAAAACGCCAGAGAGGAGCAAAAGTGAACGATCCCGATGGATTGGTAAATTGGGCGACAAGTTGTTGTTGGTTCCTCTGCTCATTTGCAATCTGCGCTGTTGGTCGCCGGGTTGATTGCTTTGTTGAGTGCCGACTGGCCAGTTGAGTTTGGCAAGGCGGCTGGAGCGCCATCAATCCGGCTGAGGATTCCTTGGATCCGGCCGCCCTAACCGTGAGTGTGCTGAAACTTATATTAACATGCATATATGCACGCCGGTTGGGACCGTACCAGGGGAAGGCCGGAACCAGGGCTGCAGGCCAATCAATCAGGCTAGATACAGGGGGTCGATTTGACTGCATTAGATTTGGTAGGATTCGTGGGCGACCGGAGGAACTCAGTAACAGATAATGAACAGGTCGGTATGAATAAAATGAGGCATATAGTGATGCAAGGTGGGCAGCTAGTATGTGTATTGTATTGAGGAAGGTGACGGGGCAGACGGGCCCAATAGGCCGAGTCGCTGAGGGAGGTACGTGCCTAGGGACCGAGAACCGAGGGAGGGTGGGATATGTAGGTATTCCTATTGGTCAAGAGCCAACAAAGGCGGGTCCATGCAGCCTTCCGCGCTGTTTGATTGGTTTGATCAAACAGTCAAACGAGCGACAGCCGACAGATTGATAGATTGAAGGCTTCAAAATTCCAGATCTTCTGACTATTGATCGCGAACGAATAAGATGGACTGATTATTAGCCTGCAGCCCTGGCCGGAACTCTGGGGAGGGAGGGGGCACTCGCCCTGCATATAAATCGAGCGGACACTTTAGCCGCCATTGTTCGCGCGGGGAATCTTGATTCACTTGATCCGTCCCCCACGTTGCCCGGGAATTGTTTCGGGGCGGCTACCCGAGTCACCGACCCTATGTGCGTTACGCATGGCCCCTGTGATGGGCTACGACCATGGCCCCAGCGTTGGCAGTTCCTCAATCTAGACCCCCTCTGTCAGAACTAGGGTTGACGAAGAGAGGGAAGAGGTGCACAAAGTCGCAAGTACGCTGCTAGATAGCTGTGAGTATGTGGGTCCTTGGTGACGGGATTAATCTCTTGATCTTCCTAGAAGTATTCCACGGCTAAGAAGGCTTTTCTCTCCGTTGCGGCCCTATCCACATGCGCCACGCCCAGCCACTGGGGTTTCTCCCCCGGTCCCTCTGTATGCCTGCTGCATGCAACCTTGGCCTGCACCATGCGTTTGACATACCAAGTCAATTTTCCATTCAACCCAATCCGGCTATTTTTGCCTTATGCAATCCTTTCAATCGACGCGGAAGCAGATTGAATTGAAGCTAACCTAGGTAGGTGGCTATTGAATATTTTTCAATGCCCTTGTTGGCGCGTATGTAGTGATAATTCGTGGTGTTTTTAATGTTTGGTTGCGCGTGTAGGGTAGCTGTTGATGAATCAGCAGGCGGGTCAAGTAACCTACCTACCTTAACCCATCCAGTAGAGTTCGGGCCATGACCCACGACACTCCCGTGTTGATAGAGTATCAATCTACTGCGCCCCCCCTCATTCTCCATATTTGTCCTTTGGCAGCCGGCAAGGGTCCTGACTGCAGACTATCGGATCCTTCGCCCGCGGCCCGATGGCGTCTATCGACGCCCTTGTCACGGCCACTGCAGGATCTTGAGACATCCGAGTCCCGGGCTTCACTGTCCTCGAGACGCCATCTGCCCTACAGGCCACATTAGTGTGAAGAAAGTGCCTGATCCCCACAGCCACGTTATGCGGCAGCGGGAGGCTCGAGGGGCAAAATGGCGGCATCGCCGCCCGTGTGCCGCCGCTCCCAGCGCCTCCGACTGTTTAAGGCCAAGCTACCAAAGATATGTCTCGACGACGATAGGGCAGGATAAGCTTCGCGAGATGGGACCAAGCCTGGGCTCGCTTCACACTGCCGCGCGCTTAGTATATGCCTTACTATCGGTGGCTGTGCGTGAGGACGGCGTGGATCCTATTAAGCAGTGTTCAGGATTGCTTGGTCTGGGGGATCGGACGCAGAGGTATCAGGCAGCTCGTACACGATTTCTGTTAAATAGCAGTCTTCCCTGGTCCCATAATAGCCTTCGTAGAGATCCCCGTGGCTTATGACAACCAGAACCTGGCCCGCCGCTGTCTTTATATGTTAATTCTGTGCCAGTATTTCCCCTATAGACCCATCTTTGGCCTTTTACATCATGAACGAATCAAGTCCCAGTCCCATTGCCATCATTGGCATGGCATGTCGTCTGCCTGGCGGCTCAGACAGGCCAGACAAGCTCTGGGACATGCTCTCTGAAGGACGCAGCGGCTGGCGCGAGATCCCCGAGGATCGGTGGAACAAGGACTCGTTCTATCACCCTGACCCCGAGGCAAAGGAGGCCGTCAACTTCAAGGGTCTCTACTTCCTGGACCAAGACATCACGGCCTTTGATGCCCGCTTCTTCAACATTCACCCTCACGAGGCCCACTGTCTTGACCCTCAACAGCGTATCCTGATGGAGACGACATATGAGGCGCTCGAGAATGCAGGGCAGACACTGGCAGCGATCAAGGGCTCCGACACTTCTGTCCACGTCGGAGCCTATGCCACCGAGTAAGTGCCTTTCCTGGGTCATTAACACGTGCACTCTCACTACTGGGAGAGCAGTCTTCTATCTTGAAGTAGCTGGGTATAGAAGCATACTGACATGTGCCTGCCCACAGCTTTGAGCGCATGGGCTACAAGGACACAGCAAGGACTCCCAAAGCCCACATGATCGGCACCGGAATTGCCATCCTATCGAATAGGATATCATATGTCTTTGACCTCAAAGGCCCCTCCAGCACAGTGGACACAGGGTGTTCAGGCAGCATGGTGGCTCTGCATCAAGCTTGTCACGGGTTGCGGGCCAAAGAGTCTAAGATGGCCATCGTGGCTGGCACCCAGCTGGTCCTCACGCCAGATCAGATCATTCCCATGAGTAGCGTCGGGTAAGCAATATCTGTACTTGACGGTGTATCAAGTGTACTGATTCGATTGATAATTCCAGAATGTCCAATGCCGATGGCAAATGTTACGTCTTTGACAGCCGTGGCGCTGGATATGCCAGGGGCGAAGGCGTCGTCAGCTTCATCCTGAAGCGTCTTGACGACGCCGTCGCGGATGGCGACAAGGTGCACGCCATCATCAGGAACTCGGGCCTCAATCAGGATGGCAAAACCGTCGGGCTTACACTCCCGAACCCGGTCTCCCAGGCGAATCTCATGCGCCTCGTATACAAGAATGCCGGTCTCGATCCGGCCGATACTCCCTACGTCGAGGCACACGGGACAGGGACCCAAGCCGGTACGTAAAAGTCTTTGGTCTCCCCCTGATCAAATGGCAAGACACTAATAGCGTGACAGGCGACAATGCAGAGATATCGTCTATTGCGGAGGTATTCTGCCCCAACGGTGAGCGGGAGGGAGGCCCCCTGTATGTCGGCTCCATCAAGTCAAACATTGGGCATCTAGAAGCTTCAAGTGGTGTTGCAGGACTGCTAAAGGCAATCCTCATCTTGAAACATGGCGCGATCCCACCCAACATTGATTTTGTGGAGCCCAAGCCCACACTTCTTCTCGAGGAGCGAAACATCAAGGTATGGGGTCTTTCATCCACGCATTGTAATCGTCACTAACAGCCTTGAAGATTGCAAAGGATGTGGTGCCGCTGCCCTCGGCAACTGGTCCCAGGCGCGTGTCTGTCAACTCCTTTGGCTACGGCGGCACGAACGCACACGTCATTTTGGAGGCCCCATCCTCCTATGAACAATTCAAGCACGATGCAGTCTCGGTCCAGCAGAATGGGGTCAATGGCCATGCCCACGGCGTCAATGGTACCAATAGACATGTTGAATCGCATGACGCCGGTCCCAACGGCTTCAGTGGTACAGACGGTATCAACGGCGCCAATGGCACTCCCGAAACGCAGCTCTTCGTGTTGTCAGCCCGATCCGAGGCCTCCTTGCAAAACATGGTGTCAAACCTGCAAAAATGGGCCTCGACGCATCACGATGCCTCCTACTTCTACAATCTGGCCTACACGCTCTCCACACGCCGCTCGGAGCTACCGTTCCGCTCCAGCTTCGCAGCGGCCAGTCACGACGAGCTCACCACCCTGCTCGGTCAGAAGCCCCGAGTCATCAAGACGCTCAACAGCTTCCGCTCCGTCTTCCTCTTCACCGGGCAGGGAGCGCAGTGGCACGCCATGGGCAAAGAGCTCACACTGCACCACCCAATCTTCAGACAGTCCATGCTCAGGTCGGAAGCCGTCTTGCAGAGGCTCGGGGCAGAGTGGAGCCTCGTTGAAGAACTCTCCAGGAATGAGGAGACCTCACGCGTTGGGCAGGCTGAGATCTCGCAGCCGTCTACCACGGCCATACAGATTGCCCTGGTCGATCTTCTCAAGACCTTCAATGTCATTCCCAACTTTGTCGTCGGGCACAGCAGTGGCGAGATAGCCGCGGCCTATGCCGCGGAGGCCCTGGATCACGAGTCCGCGATGGAGATATCGTTCCGTCGCGGGTTCATGTCTCAGGCATACTCGCGAGTCAACTCGAGCAAAGGCGCCATGATGGCCGTCGGCTTGGGCGAGGAAGACGCCCAGAGATACGTCAGCCAGACTCTCAAGGGCCTGGTCTGCGTTGCCTGTGTCAACTCTCCAGTCAGCACAACCATATCTGGAGACGAGGCTGCCATCGACGAGCTGAAGCAGATCCTGGACGAGGAGTCCATCTTCAACCGCAAGCTCAAGGTCGACACGGCATATCACTCGCATCACATGAAGAAAGTCGCAGGCGAGTACCTAGAGTCCATCGCGCACATCAAAGCTTG